AAAAGTAAGGGTGAGTTTTCTAAAAGTAAGGGTGAGTCTTCTATCAGTAAGGGTGTGTCCTTTAAAAGTAAAGGTGAGTCTTCTAAACATAAGGGTGAGTCATCTAAAAGTAAGGGTGACTCTTCTAAAAGTTTGTGAGTGCCTTCTAAAAGTAAGGGTGAGTCTTCTAAAAGTAAGGGTGAGTCTTCTTAAGGTAAGAATGTGCCTTCTAAAAGTAAAGGTGAGTCTTCTAAAGGTAGTGGTGTGTCATCGAAAAGTAAGGGTGAGTTTTCTAAAAGTAAGGGTGAGTCTTCTAACAGTAAGGGTGTGTCTTCTAAAAGTAAGGTGAGTCTTCTAAAAGTAAAGGTGAGTCTTCTAAATGTAACAGTGCGTCTTCTAAAAGTAAGTGTGAGTCCTCTAAAAGTAAGGGTGTGTCTTCTAAAAGTAAGGGTGACTCTTCTAAAAGTAACGGTGAGTCATCTAAAAGTAAGGCTGTGTCTTCTAAAAGTAAGGGTGTGTCATCTGAAAGTAAGGTTGAGTCTTGTAAAAGTTAGGGTGTGTCTTATAAAAGTAAAGGTGAGTCTTCTAAACATAAGGGTGAGTCATCTAAAAGTAAGGGTGACTCTTCTAAAAGTTTAAAGTAAGGGTGAGTCTCAAAAAGTAAGGGTGATTCTTCTAAAAGTAAGGGTGAGTCTTCTAAAAGTAAGGGTGATTCTTCTAAAAGTAAGGGTGAGTCTTCTAAAAGTAAGGGTGAGTCTTCTAAAAGTAAGGGTGTGTCTTCTAAAACTAAGGGTGAGTCATCTAAAGATAAGGGTGTGTCTTCTATAAGTAATAGCGTGTCATCTAAAAGTAAAGGTGTATCATCTGAAAGTAAGGTTGAGTCTTCTAAAAGTTAGGGTGTGCCTTATAAAAGTAAGGGCAAGTCTTGTAAAAGTTAGGGTGTGCCCTTTAAAAGTAAAGGTGAGTCTTCTAAACATAAGGGTGAGTCATCTAAAAGTAAAAGTGAGTCTTCTAAACATAAGGGTGAGTCATCTAAAAGTAAGGGTGACTCTTCTAAAAGTTTAGGAGTGCCTTCTAAAAGTAAGGGTGAGTCTTCTAAAAGTAAGGGTGATTCTTCTAAAAGTAAGGGTGAGTCTTCTAAAAGTAAGGGTGATTCTTCTAAAAGTAAGGGTGAGTCTTCTAAAAGTTTGGGTGTGCCTTCTAAAAGTAAGGGTGAGTCTTCTAATAGTTTGGTGTGCCTCCTAAAAGTAAGGGTGAGTTTTCTAAAAGTAAGGGTGAGTGTTCTATCAGTAAGGGTGTGTCTTCTAAAAGTTAGGGTGAGTCTTCTAAAGGTAAGGGTGTGTCTTCTAAAAGTAAGGGTGAGTCTTCTAAAAGTAAGGGTGAGTCATCTAAAAGTAAGGGTGTGTCTTCTAAAAGTAATAGCGTGTCATCTAAAAGTAAAGGTGTATCATCTGAAAGTAAGGTTGAGTCTTCTAAAAGTTAGGGTGTGCCTTATAAAAGTAAGGCTGAGTCTTCTAACCGTAAGGGTAAGTCTTCTTAAGGTAAGGGTGTGCCTTCTAAAAGTAAAGGTGACTCTTCTAAAGGTAGGGGTATGTCATCGAAAAGTAAGGGTGAGTTTTCTAAAAGTAAGGGTGAGTCTTCTAAAGGTAAGGGTGTGTCTTCTAAAAGTAAGGGTGAGTCATCTAAAAGTAAGGGTGAGTCATCTGAAAGTAAGGGTGAGTCATCTAAAAGTAAGGGTGAGTCTTCTAAAAGTAACGGTGAGTCTTCTTAAGGTAAGGGTGTGTCATCAAAAAGTAAGGATGAGGTTTCCAAAAGTAAGGGTGAGTCTTCTAACAGTAAGGGTGTGTCTTTTAAAAGTAAGGGTGAGTCATCTAAAAGTAGCGGTGAGTCTTCTAAATGTAACAGTGTGTCTTCTAAAAGTAAGTGTGAGTCCTCTAAAAGTAAGGGTGTGTCTTCTAAAAGTAAGGGTGAGTCATCTAAAAGTAAGGGTGAGTCGTCTAAAAGTAAGGCTGTGTCTTCTAAAAGTAATAGCGTGTCATCTAAAAGTAAAGGTGTGTCATCTGAAAGTAAGGTTGAGTCTTGTAAAAGTTAGGGTGTGTCCTTTAAAAGTAAAGGTGAGTCTTCTAAAACATAAGGGTGAGTCATCTAAAAGTAAGGGTGTGTCTTCTAAAAGTAATAGCGTATCATCTAAAAGTAAAGGTGTGTGATCTGAAATAAGGTTGGGTCTTCTAAAAGTTAGGGTGTGCCTTATAAAAGTAATGGTGAGTCTTGTAAAAGTTAGGGTGTGTCCTTTAAAAGTAAAGGTGAGTCTTCTAAACATAAAGGTGAGTCATCTAAAAGTAAGGGTGACTCTTCTAAAAGTTTGGGAGTGCCTTCTAAAAGTAAGGGTGAGTCTTCTAAAAGTTTGGGTGTGCCTTCTAAAAGTAAGGGTGTCTTCTAATAATTTGGGTGTGCCTCCTAAAAGTAAGGGTGAGTGTTCTAAAAGTAAGGGTGAGTCTTCTATCAGTAAGGGTGTGTCTTCTAAAAGTAAGGGTGAGTCTTCTAAAAGTAAGGGTGTCTTCTAAAAGTAAGGGTGAGTCTTCTAAAAGTAAGGGTGAGTCATCTAAAAGTAAGGGTGTGTTTTCTAAAAGTAATAGCGTGTCATCTAAAAGTAAAGGTGTATCATCTGAAAGTAAGGTTGAGTCTTCTAAAAGTTAGGGTGTGCCTTATAAAAGTAAGGCTGAGTCTTGTAAAAGTTAGGGTGTGTCCTTTAAAAGTAAAGGTGAGTCATCTAAACATAAGGGTGAGTCATCTAAAAGTAAGGGTGTGTCTTCTAAAGGTAAGGGTGTGTCTTCTAAAAGTAAGGGTGAGTCTTCTAAAAGTAAGGGTGAGTCATCTAAAAGTAAGGGTGTGTTTTCTAAAAGTAATAGCGTGTCATCTAAAAGTAAAGGTGAATCATCTGAAAGTAAGGTTGAGTCTCCTAAAAGTTAGGGTGTGCCTTATAAAAGTAAGGCTGAGTCTTGTAAAAGTTAGGGTGTGTCCTTTAAAAGTAAAGGTGAGTCATCTAAACATAAGGGTGAGTCTTTTAAAAGTAAGTGTGAGTCCTCTAAAAGTAAGGGTGTGTCTTCTAAAAGTAAGGGTGAGTCATTTAAAAGTAAGGGTGAGTCATCTAAAAGTAAGGGTGTGTTATCTTAAAGTAATAGCGTGTCATCTAAAAGTAAAGGTGTGTCATCTGAAAGTAAGGTTGAGTCTTCTAAAAGTTAGGGTGTGCCTTATAAAAGTAATGGTGAGTCTTGTAAAAGTTAGGGTGTGTCCTTAAAAGTAAAGGTGAGTCTTCTAAACATAAAGGTGAGTCATCTAAAAGTAAGGGTGACTCTTCTAAAAGTTTGGGAGTGCCTTCTAAAAGTAAGGGTGAGTCTTCTAAAAGTAAGGGTGAGTCATCTAAAAGTAAGGGTGATTAAGTAAAGGTGAGTCTTCTAAAGGTAGGGGTGTGTCATCGAAAAGTAAGGGTGAGTTTTTAAAAGAAAGGGTGAGTCTTCTAACAATAAGGGTGATTCTTCTAAAAGTAAGGGTGAGTCATCTAAAAGTAAGGGTGAGTCATCTAAAAGTAAGAGTCAGTCATCTAAAAGTAAGGGTGTGTCTTCTAAAAGTAATAGCGTGTCATCTAAAAGTAAAGGTGTATCATCTGAAAGTAAGGTTGAGTCTTCTAAAGGTTAGGGTGTGCCTTAAAAAAGTAAGGGTGAGTCTTCTAAAAGTAAGGGTGAGTCATCTAAATGTAAGGGTGAGTAAGTAAAGGTGAGTCTTCTAAAGGTAGGGGTGTGTCATCGAAAAGTAAGGGTGAGTTTTTTAAAAGAAAGGGTGAGTCTTCTAACAATAAGGGTGATTCTTCTAAAAGTAAGGCTGAGTCTTCTAACAGTAAGGGTGTGTCTTTTAAAAGTAAGGGTGAGTCATCTAAAAGTAGCGGTGAGTCTTCTAAATGTAACAGTGTGTCTTCTAAAAGTAAGTGTGAGTCCTCTAAAAGTGTGTCTTCTAAAAGTAAGGGTGAGTCATCTAAAAGTAAGGGTGAGTCGTCTAAAAGTAAGGCTGTGTCTTCTAAAAGTAATAGCGTGTCATCTAAAAGTAAAGGTGTGTCATCTGAAAGTAAGGTTGAGTCTTGTAAAAGTTAGGGTGTGTCCTTTAAAAGTAAAGGTGAGTCTTCTAAACATAAGGGTGAGTCATCTAAAAGTAAGGTGTGTCTTCTAAAAGTAATAGCGTATCATCTAAAAGTAAAGGTGTGTGATCTGAAATAAGGTTGGGTCTTCTAAAAGTTAGGGTGTGCCTTATAAAAGTAATGGTGAGTCTTGTAAAAGTTAGGGTGTGTCCTTTAAAAGTAAAGGTGAGTCTTCTAAACATAAAGGTGAGTCATCTAAAAGTAAGGGTGACTCTTCTAAAAGTTTAGGAGTGCCTTCTAAAAGTAAGGGTGAGTCTTCTAAAAGTTTGGGTGTGCCTTCTAAAAGTAAGGGTGAGTCTTCTAATAATTTGGGTGTGCCTCCTA